GTAAACTAGCATACTACAAACTAAATGATTATATACAAGATAAAAATCCTTGGAGGCTAGCTGGTCCTACTCCACAGGATGTTTAGAGGAATTTTTGATTTTAATTATTAAATTGTACACTATGTTGTTAATTGTTGATGAACTTGTAAGTTTTTGTAAATGTGAGTGCCCTGTAACCTATTATAATTAAGTAAGACTTGTAGAATATAGGTACTTGTGCCGGCTGGGAGCTGTCATGCTCACTCAGAGGTCTCATTGCGGCGGTGGCACGGGCACTGACTGGATCGCCCAATTCCCTATAATATGGTTGAGTTGGGCGGTGCGGTGTACGTGTCATGTTCGTGATCGGGCGCCGCCTATTGGGACTGGTCATCTCCAGGCTATCTAAATATGTTGTCCTTGAGGTTCACTTCTTTTTCGTACTTTTTGCCTGAACATTAGTGTTACATTGTTCTCACATATCAGAACCGACTAAATGATGTAACAAAGAAATGTATTGTAAAACTGATTGAAAAAGAGTAACCATGGAGTTTCTTGCTCGTTCTTCTCCATAGGAATCTACACTTTGGAACGAGCAAATAGCTTCACTAGAGGACAGACGGACAGACTGACACGCTTAATTTTAAAGCTCTTGTTATATACTATTTTCCTTTTTTGCTTGCTTGACGTTCAAAAGTACCTACTGTGGTCTAATTGAAATAAATGATTTTTGACTTTTTTTTGACTTTTGACTTTTTGGCTTCAGGGATACTTAAAGAATTGAGGTTCGAGGTTAATGTAAAAAGAGCTTTCCTTAAAAAATCCCGAATCGCTGCTTTTTCCATAAGCTCCAACAGAATTATTGCGAGTAAAACAATTGAAAAGTACTTAATGTTTATAGTTGTAGTATAGTGATCCGGAATTTAGGTACTGGCTGGATTATTCTGATGTGTTTTCCGTCAATGGCACCAATGCAATGCGGGGAAATTGGTGATTTTTTTTAAATCCTCTTGCAATGCTTTCCCAATCATTTCCTGTTGTACCTAGATAATAAGTATTATAAATTGTCCTTGATGTTTGCATAATATAACGTCACACTCTTCTCTAACTATTGTACATAGGTATTGTTGTATAACCGAGTCATATATAGTTCCATAAATGTAGGTACAACATGTTGCAAGATACCTGCAAAAAAAATCTAGGTAGGTAGGGTAAACTTGCCTAATTCGTACCACTTAAGGAGAACCTCGAAAATTTTGGAAATGAACAATGATACACAGTTATTTATATTAAGTAGTTATAATTAAACTAATGTTCTATTAGTATTCCGACAAAAAATAACATAAATCTCTCTGAGAAATAAACAATTTTCAAAAACTTTAAAAAAGTACCTACGATTTAAGACCATTGATCTTAAATCGTACCAGTATGTTCTTAAATCATACTTTGAGATCCTATCATTGTTTTACAGTCTTAAAAATCACAATCTTAATAATCTTCTCTTCTTTTTAATCTGAATGTACCTAGATTACCTAAGTAATTCTTATTAATACAGCGGATGGTCTTTCCCAAATCTTGAAAGTCATCGCAGTAATAAAATTTAGTTTTTTTAATTCGTCCTGCACATAGCTCATTACCCATACTTCACAATTACTGCATAAAATCATGTTTTTTTTAGTTTTTTCTTTTTAATAAGAACAAATTTAAAAAAATCAAGTAAGTAATTAATACTTACTGTGAAATTAAACATTGTTTTCCTAAATCGTAAGTACGTACGTTTTAAGAAGTTGCTGCGAGTACGAATTATGCACAAGTATCAAATGAATTTCAAATTAGCCGAAAAAAAAACTGTTAACGAACAAGCCGGCTTTACTATGTGAAATATATTCAGAAATATACGCATAAATATATAATAAACAGTTAAACAACTTATAAACGGTGTACTTGGAAGACAGTTCTTGTGAAGTATGCGAAAAAAATACTCAAAAAGTGAGAAAAAACTTACCTGCTCAATATTTTTGTCGGGAGCAACGTAACAGGTGTTTATTTGTCATATGGCAATCTGGCCGACTATTATTGACATTTTATGCCATCAGAGGCGCTGGTAACTATTACCCATGCCAAGATATGGACGAGGTACGATTTTGGCGCAGGTACGAATTAAGCAAGTTTACCTATATATAAGTACCTACTTAACTTAAAATTTACTTTCAGTTGTTGCATTACAAAGAAAGTGGAAGAGTATCCGCGGCTGCTTCACAAGGGAAATTGGCCGCCAAAAAATGTTAAGTCTGGATCTGGCGGTGGATCACGTAAAAGTGAATACTTAAACACCTGCAATTTTTAAAAAATGTTGTTGCTGTAGAGGAACCTGAACATGAACATGTTGCTGATGAAGAACCTACGGGGAACTCTGAACCAGATACACAGATGTGACAGCTGGTACAACGCAAAAAAAAATAAAGAGAACAAAGGCTACTACGTGTCCTGAAGATGATAAATTCCTTGAAACTCTACAGAGAAGCATCGAGACGAGAGAAAAAATTGACGAAAGAAATGATAACGAAGACAGGTTATTTAGGTATGTTGTCTTTGGAAGGTACTTTAAAAAAAGTACCTCCAAAAAGAAAAATGGATACGAAAATGAAGATGTCTATAGGTACTCGATAACGCAACTAACCGATTAGCTGCGCAGTACACAATTTTGTTCCTAAAAGATCCATTGCGCAGACAAACGGCTAACTTCAGACTCGCCAAGATACGTCGGCCGCACTGTAAGCCTATATATCAGCCTCCCACACATCTCTCAATCCCAACAAATGCAGCAGTCTCCTTCAAGCAACCATCCTGGATATTCTACTCGTTCCGGAGGTTCTGAAATGTCACACATCTCACCCTTGTCGAATTTGTCATCCTCAGATAATTGAACAGGGTATTTTCTTAAATCTTCATAGAGTTTGAGAAAAACACCGCTTTGGCTTCGGTTTGATACAAATAGATGTACCCATATTTTTTTCTCTTTTCGTTTTATCTTTAAGCGACGCTGGTAATACTTAATATACCTAATAACAGTGCAGCAGTTTCCACGTCCATTCCTGAATGTGTAGAGACAGAACTGAATGTCGCGACGCGATTGGGCGACTCAGTCTGGCGACACAGGGACACCAGACGTAGCCATGGCAATGTCGCTGGCCACGTCGCCATGGCATCTCGGTGAGGTAGGTATGGTCAGTCATGGCTGAACTAGCAGGAGCTTTCGACATAAGCAGCAAAACAGTCTTGGTTCATTTGCGTCAAATTGGCAAGAAAAAAACTTTACAAATGGGTACCTAGGTACCTATTCTATAAAGTCGGAGCAAAGTATAAGTCAAGATATTCCTTGCCCTGGTATTGCTTACCATCTACAAAATACCTACGAGTTTAGTTTCACGGTATTCTGTGAGGCTGTCTGGCCGTGGTATCACTTCAGTTAAGCCGATCACTCGCCCGGCCTTGTTTTATTTCTTTTGATGAAACTGCCCCATATTAGGATTTTCTCCTGTGTCGTGAACTTGTTGGTGCAGTTACAAACACACAATTTCACACACACATCACACCCAGACCTGGAACAACAATTTTTGGGTCAGACAAAGAGTAGTTCCGTGTGGGAATCGAACCCGCGACACGTTGCACGGCAGCCGTGCAGTCATCAGCCCTAGTTGAAGCCATGGTGCCGATCAAGATCTGGAAGCCGTCTCCTCTTTTTTTGAAGCAGTTATGCTCGCAAATAAGTAGGCGTGACGCGTGAAGGAACTATCCTCCTCACAGATACTTCTGGTTTCGGGACTCGCGTGACGATCTTTGGCCACGGGCGGGTCAGCGGGTGGCGAGTAGATATTGGTAGTAGCTCGCCGCCCGACCCAGAACCGAGTGGACGGTTCTTAGCGTTATAGGCTGATGTTCGGCCGGGGTGCGACCTCGGCCTGGAGCTCCAAAGACCTTGCACCTTTTAACTTTTCTAGAATTCGGATAACTTCTTGGCGGGAAAATATCAGATTAGATATCTGAAACACAAACAATACCTACCCGAGAGACATTTCAGAATGCCCTTGAAGAGATTGCTGCTCAGCCGATTTCTTCAAGAACAACCAATGCTGATAGAAAATACTCTTCATTTACGTGTACCTACGTAGTGTAATATGAAAACTGCACATTCATAGTTAAAGACGTTATCTACCTATCTCTTACATTACAGATTTGCGGTATCGATAATATCGTCAGCCTGGAAGCTTTCCTCGGGGGGCCAAACGCCTCCTGCCGGAGGTTTTATATGGGGATTGTGCGATCAATGGCCCTCTACGGCGCCCCGTGTGGGCGCCGGACCTGAGGCGGCGGTCAGCTCGTACGCTAGTCGCGTCCCAGAGGGCCATGGCTATCCGAATAATCCGCGGATATCGCACGATCTCCGGTAAGGCGGCGAACCTCCTTGCCGGATCACCGCCGTGGGATCTGGAAACGAAGGCACTCGCGCGCGTCTTTAAATTTGCGCGCAGACGCGCGTCGCCGGGGCGAGCATCCTTTGCCGCGCCAAATAAGTGCGTGGCGGCATGCTCCACCTAGAGGATACGGTGGAGCATACCGTGGCGGTATGCCCTGCCTGGGCTGAGCACCGCCGTGTCCTCAGGGAAGTGATCGGCGGCAGCGACCTCTCGGAAGGAACTGGGACGCCGTCTACTCCTTTTGTGAAGCAGTCATGCTCGCAAAGAGAGAGGCGGCCCGCGTGAGGGAGCAATCCTCCTCCTCACGCCCCAGCCGCCGCAATAGGCGACATTCTGGGCGAGATCGAGAGATGATCTCCGGCCACGGTAAGTGCGGGTCTGCGGTCGGCGAGTACGGGCAGCTCGCCGCTCGATAAGAACCAGGCCCGAGCATACGCCGCGTAGCGTTGCGCGCACGCCGCAAAGAGCCAATAGACCACCACAGACGGGCCCATGTGTACTTTTGATGCATGGGTTATGGACAACAAATTATTTCAAAAATACTTTGATTTGTAACTTCATAGTATATTTATCTAGATACATTTGATGCACTATTTACATGGCTTTATATATCCTAGTGCAAGATCATCAACCGAAAAGTACAGGATACCAATGCAATTATAGCTTACACATTTCCACCCTCATCATATTGCATAAGAATAACTATTTTATACTCTTGGAAATAACAATATGTAACATAAGAACACAAAACCTGTTATAATGCCCCACCCCATGACAAAATTATAATTGTTACAACTATAATTTTTAAAGAAAGTGTTTTGTTTTACTATATTTTTTTTTTAAATTATAACATGTCAATATCAGTTTATTTATGTCAATTAATATTTTATCCTCTTTCTTTGTCATGGGTAGATGCACCATCTATAAAGTTATGTATTTTTTATGTTTCACATTACAAAATTAACATTTTATGCCATTACAACTACAAAGAATATGAAGAAGAATATAAGAACACCAAAAACTTTAAACATTAAAGCTCTATTGCCAGTAACACTTTGAAAATATTTCATAATTTCTCTGTGTCCAGCTTCAACATTCATTTCTGCTTCTTGGATATTTGCATCAATTCTACCAATGGCTTCATCTTGCTCTTTCACCATGTGTGCTAGCTGCTGAAATATCCCTCCTAATTCAACAATGGTACTCTCAATATTGTGCATAGTTTCAGCCCTTTGCTGAACATATGTATCTGTGTCATCTCTCAATGCTAACTGTTGTTGTTGTGTTTGAATGTTAGGGGCATCACCTAAGTCTATACTGATGTCATCCTGTTGTAATAGTGATGGCACTTCTTTAACCAATGGAGCCACTCTGGAAAACTGTTCCCTTCTGTTGTTTTGATGTTTCAAATTTTCAGACCTTACTTCAAGGACCTGAAACAGTTAGTAAAACAATGTAGTATTTTAATAATATATATTATAATACATATTGTAATAAAATTGTTTGAAGCATTTTAATTGATTTGTTGAATTTTAATACCTGTTTAAATTGATTGCTCATGGAAGCTAAACGTGATTGTAAAGCAAGCACAACACTTGATGAGTGGCTATGCATACTTCTCCGCCCTCTTGGCATTTCACCCAACCTGGCAATTTGCTGATTCAAAGAACTAAGATCTCCTTTGATTATGTATGTCAGTTCTTGAATTTCTGTTGGTCGATCATCAAATAGAGACTTCTTTTTGGCCACTAAAAAGTACAACACATTATTATCTAAATACTTAATTTCACAATAATAGAAATGCAGCGGAATAACAAGAAAGGACACTGATACTTACACAAAGCTAACTTTTCAAGTTTAGCATAAGTACTTGTTATATTTTTACTGATAACTTTTGCCATGCCCATAAATTGTGAATATGTCTCCAATATCTGAGCTTTTCTTTCATCTCTTATGATGGGTCTGGCTAAAGTTCTACCTTGCAGACTGCGTACAGCTGAGATAAATTCATTAGTTCTATCTCTAGACGCCATCACGGGTTCAAACACAAATTCTTCGAGGATGTCGAATGATATATCAGGTTCCACAATATTACAAGGGGATACTAATTTTGCCTGTGTCTTTTGAAATGGATTAAATATACTAGAATTATTAGTCGGTTGACTCCCTTTCTTGTCTAATTTATTGTAGGTATCAAAATCGTTGTCCAAAGGTGTTCGCTCTGTCACACCTCCGATATTTCGCCGACGAGGGAGCATCGCATTCTATACTATATTCAGTAAAAAAATAATTTATTTTCACTAATATACACTGAATAAGACTTTTCTGATAATTTCATAAAGGATAATTAATAAAAATACATTTTCAGTGACAACCAGCTGTTCTCAAAGTTTGATTTCATGAAGAATGACTGAGTAGGACGACGTATTGACAATGGTGATGTGTCGAGCAAGCGTCAAGTTTCACACAGATAACAAAAACATATAGTCATGTGCATAAAATAGTATCCGATGTAAAAAGTTCAAGCGATACTGAATTGTGAAACTTTACACAAAATTATTTTTAGCAGCCGCGCAGCGGTGATTAACTCATTTCGTTTCGTTGATAACCAAAGACAATACGATATATTATATCGTAGTGTTTTTAAACTCTTTGAAAGACAATTAAATTAAATTCACTTGTCATTTTGACAATGTACCTAATGTCATAAATTCATAATGTTATTTTTCAGTCAATTGACAGATTGATTAAGACTCCCAGCCCCAGTGTTAGGTATATAGGATTATTTTTATAAAAGCATTTATAGAAGGTTATTTATAATCAATAGTATTGTAACCAGAAATTTAGAAATTAATATCAAATTTTCAGTGTCGAAAATGACCGTTGCTCCTCAATACAATTATCACTAGATAAGATTCAAGTTATGATTCATTCAACAATAAGCAATGATATCCTAATGATTGATGTGTATATTCTTTAAAGTCCTAATAAGTCTTTAACAATGAAGTCCTCTCAGTTGACTATAAATGGCCAGCATTACAATAACGCCCATTTCACAATTGGTTTAAGTCTAGCAATTTCGTCAAGTGTGTTTATTGGCGCTAGTTTTATAATTAAAAAAGTTGCTTTAAGAAAACTTCAAGCCTCTGGAAATGTCAGAGCATCGGCAGGTGGATTTGCTTATTTGAAGCAATGGCTGTGGTGGCTTGGTTTTATCACAAGTATGTACCTAGTTGCAATTATTAACTTGCCCTTATGTTATATGTTAAAACCTTTACTTAAATTCATAATATAATCAATTATTGTTTCAGTGGGTGTTGGAGAAGCTGCCAATCTTCTAGCATATGCATTTGCTCCTGCTGCACTAGTAACACCTCTAGGTGCACTCAGTGTTCTTGTTGCAGCAGTGCTGTCTTCAAAATTTCTGAAAGAGAAACTCAATTTCATTGGAAAAGTATGGTGCTTTAATTAATCAAATACATCATGTAATTAGGTTTCTTAATGTGGACACATTTTTAACACAATCTTTTATTTCAGATTGGATGCTTTCTATGTATTATTGGATCAGTAATATTTGTGATACATTCTCCAAAATCAGAAGAAATAACAACCTTTAGTGAGTTAGTGGAAAAATTATTAGACTATTTGTTTTTATCATATGTGGGGACAATTTTCTTGATGGGTTTAATAATTAAACTAGCCTTCATACCAAGGTTTGGAAACACGAATGTGATGGTATATTTACTACTATGCTCATCAACCGGTAGTCTCACTGTAGTATTTTGCAAGGGTGTTGCTTTAGGTGTAAGAGAAAGTTTTTCAGGAAATGTTAATAATTTTACTAATTACATTTTTTGGTTATTATTTATAACTGCTGTAGTTTGTATTATGATTCAGATGAATTATTTAAATAAGTCACTGGACATTTTCAATACCAGTGTTGTTACTCCTGTGTACTATGTCATGTTTACTGTATTAGTTATTATAGCATCAGGAATCCTTTTTAAAGAATGGGACCATATGAACATTCCTGATATTGTAGGTTGTATATGTGGCTTCTTAATTGTAATCACAGCAGTGTTTATGTTAAATGCATTTAAAGATGTGAAAATTGCATTTAAAGATTTGAACCTTAATGCACGACATAGAAGAAGTGCATTAAATTTACATGTTGAAGAGAGAGGGCCAGAGAACTATGGATTAAGCTCACGTTTGAGGCATTTGTAACAATAACAATTTGAAATAGAATAATCATTTTAGGAGAAATGGTCTCATTCAACACTTGTGTCAAAATTTATTTATTTCTCTAGAATTCTCAGTAGTCGTAAAAGCATTGATATTTCTTCTGTTCTGATTTAGAAATTAATAGCTGTAATGTTTGCATGCTCTATTAAATAATTTATATTTAAAAACATTTATAAGATCTTAGTCATGAGACACCCCTATTGAAAATTAGGATTGTGGAGGAACTGTGTAGAAATTTAAATGGTAATTTATTAAATAGTATATAAAAGTGATAAAGGTTTATAATTGAGACCATGCCTATTTATGATATATCTTAACCTAGCATCTACTGCTAATATTTTGTGAATTATTCAGCAAGTGGTGTACCTGACAGTACTTGTTATGCTATAATGAGTATATAGTTATAGTATTGTGCAAGTGAGAATAAAGAAATGAAGAACATTCAATCTCACTGTCTTGAAGGATGAATACACTTATTAAGAAATAATAGTTCAGTTGTTGTCTGTGTAAAGTATAAATAAAACTACATTTGAGCTATGTTAACACAAACTTGTGATGTACATTAATTCTTGTCATCAATTTTTTTCATAACTGTGATATTATTTCTATTTGTGTATGGATCTTATTACCATGAACAATTTGATAACCACTTGAATGTAAAAATATTGAAAAAGTTGAATTGATGACATGATTTATTTATTCCTTTAAACCAAAATACTTTAGTTAAGTAGGATGTAAGGTGAATCAGTTAATTTAACCATTCTCAAATAAAATAATTTATTTTTTGATGGCTTATTGTTTTAATTTACCCATGTTACAAAAGAATATTATTTTTCCGATTAACAAAATAACTTTTTGGTTCAGTACTTCTAAAAAAAAATAAACATGTTTATACAGAGTCTTGACAGTAAACAAGTACCTACGCTTAGTATGTAAATATAAGTAGCACTTGAGATTCATTACAAGGACTGATAACAATATAAATGCTTTAGACCTGAGGAATGTATAAGTTGATATTCCTAAATGTCACAAGTACACAGTAACTGTGTGATAGATAAATGTTCTGCAAATAGGGCAAGTGCGCTGATATCCATAAAGGCGTCTGCAACAATCAGTACACAAGCAGACATGTCGACATGGCAGTGTTAGAACACATTTTTGCCTCTCTTGGCATATAACACATAGTGAGTCTGCCCCATCACCAGGGTCATCTACATTAGAAGAATCATAATAATTAATATCACTAGAACCTAAGTCTTGCCCACCAGCCATTTGAGCTATTAAGCCAACTTCTGAGTTAGTAAAATAATTAAAAAGTAAATAATATAAATACAAAACATTTCTTATCAAAGACCAATACAGCATGGTCATGTGATTTATTATGGCTTCTCTGAAATGAATACACAAACGTACAATTATTATAGCACTTGTAATTCCCATAAAAGATTGTAAAGGCACTTCTGTTAACCAATTAGTGAATTTCAACAATGTCATGTAGGCATCTACTATGAAACTGCCTATGATCAGTCCAATATACTTAAACACTGCTCTCAACAATTGCGGAAGATATATAGGCACAAATGTTATAATAAGCCACACAGTGTCACCAATAAATATCACAGAATTCTTTAGTAAAATCAAAACTTCACTTATCATAATACCAACTGCTCGTGTTAACCAGTTAGCAGTGCTTAAAAGTTCATTGAATTCTAAATATATTTCGTTCACAATATTGACAACACCATCTTGTATGCGAATTATTTGGTTGACAAACGCATCAACTACCCCATATACAGAGGCCGGTATTTCTTCAGTAAATATCGCTACATTATCTTCATACACTATTTCAAAAAACGTAATAATGTTTCTGATACTGTTTATTATTAATGACGAGATCCATGTTCCTGCTGAAACAATCAGTTTTCCTGTAAACGATGCTATCAGTAGAATAGTTTGCAGGCTCGTTGCAAAAACATTTATAATTTTAGCCACAAGTGAAATCATATTTGCTTCATTATAATATATAAACTGAGTTATGTTGTGTAACTTTTCAAATATGTATAATAATATTCTCGTTAAGAAATTATATTCTTATTAGGGTTACAATACAAATGACATTCTGATTTCTGTCATACAAATTACAAAGGATTATAAATGACATATCAACAAACAACGACAACAGCTGATTTGAAAATTGACACTACGAGGTCTTGTTGTAGAGCATAGATTTAGTACCTATTATAGTAGAGGGACAATACCATAGACTATAAAGTTAATCTACAGACTATATTTATTTATTTAAATAGGTTAGCCAACAATTATTACATTTTTCACTAACTCTTAATAAAAGATATAACACATGTGCGAGTATAATAATCACTTATAGACTAACACAGCATACACAATAGTATTAGTTAACAATACATTGTTTTTTAATTATAATAACATAATAATTTTTGAAAAATAACAATGTAAAAAACAAACTGACAGAAAAAATTAAAAAACCAACAGGTAAAATAATTGTGTATACACTGTACACATGCATTATTTATTTATAATACGAGCGCTACTACTACAAGCAGTGCACAAGTTAGCCGTTTGTCTGCGCAATGGACCTTTTAGGAACAAAATTGTGTACTGCGCAGCTAATCGGCTAACTTCAGACTCGCCAAGATACGTCGGCCGCACTAAATATTTTATTTACGGGTAACTAAATTATTTTATTTATACCAAACTGTGAGGGTAGTTTTATATGTGTATAATCTCATAGGTCTATGCAGTTGGCGTTCTTAGTGCTAGGAATTTATACTAGTAACATGTTTTTATTTATTTCGGGCTTAAAATTAAATTAAAGTGAAGTCTTTACTTTGGAGTGGTTATTCTAAAATTAAAATTATCTATGTGTTCATTTTTAGTCTATGACGTAACCTATTAATCAAATCGACATTTTGTCTATGAGCAATGAGAGACGAGAATCAAGAAATGGTGCAGACGGTGTCGACGCGCTATTTCTCGTTTTAAAAATAATTAATAACAATATCACGTAGTTCAAACTAGTTTAGTTTATACGTAATACATGTTTGAAGTTTTATCAATTAAGTAAAATTTAACATGGTTAGTAAAATTTCAGTTGTAGCTAAAGAAATTATGTGGTGATAAGGGCATTCGTCTCTTAAAACTTGTTTGTTTTTCTGACTTTACATTGATATTAAGTGGTACACTTTTATTACTTATAGAAGCTAGATTTCTTTCGTTCTTATAAAGACTATTTCTTTACAGGAACCGGCTAATACCGGGACCGGGTCGCCTGGTCTAATTGGTTCGGGATCTCTCATTCCACCGACTATGTTAGGTGGTATGGCCCCGCCAATGCCACAGTCTGTAGGCATACCTGCTTCAGCAGTTGGCATGCCACCTGTGCCTGGGATACCTCCTAACATGGCCGGTATGCCACCGCCGATGAGTTTTCCACCTATGATACCACCATTTTCGATGCCTCCACCAGGATTCCCGGCATTTAAAGCTGTAAGTATATTTATTTAAAATAATGACTTGCATGACTTAACTGAGAAAAGCTCTACTAGTTTCAAGTCACAACAAGACTCTTATTCATGAGCAGCATGTGGTCAGCTAACTATGAGTGATACCACTGCCTCACAGAAAATTGGTATGAAACAAACATAACATTATGTTTTGCTGTATTAGTGATGTTACTGGAGGCCGACTCATTCATCCTCTACCATCCCTCCCATATCCTAAATCTCCTAAAACTCTAATCCCCAAAAGGCGGATAAGCATGCAGCACATGTGGGTGGTCCATAAATTGTTGTTTCGGGTCTGGGTGGCTTGTGTATGTGATTTGTGTGTTAGGAAACACACCCACAATAATTTTTATCCATTTGGTTGATTACTGGACTATGACATAAAAAATATTGTGCAATAACAACTAATAGGTAGTTTATTTAATTTGCAGGATATGAATGCTCCGGCTCCAGATGTTGCTCCAATGGCCAATCAAAGCAGCCCCTGGTCTGAACACAAAGCTCCAGATGGAAGAACATACTATTACAATTCTGTTAGTAAACAAAGTCTTTGGGAGAAACCTGATGATTTGAAGACCCCAGCAGAGGTTAGCATTGCATGTACTATTAAAATTTTAAATATTAACTGTACCAATATTATAAAGAGGTAAAATTTGAAAGTTTGTATGTAGGGGGTAATCTTTGGAACCACTGCTAGATCGCTAGAATGTTCCTGAGTTCTATAGGCTATAAAACACCATGCTTTGATCAAATAGAGCACAGCAGCAGTTGAAAAAACGTATGTTGGTTGTATGGTTTTTTTAATCTCATTACGACATTTCTATCAATTTGAGCACTACAGCTCAGCATAGTTGGAAGCTTTTGGCTAATTTTGACTCTGAATCCAGAAACATTCCTCTTGGAGTACACAGAACAGGGAAGCATTTTAGGGCCACTGTTTTTCCTTATAAATATCAATGATTTGGCTATATCACTAAAACATCAAAGTATCTTGTTAGTACACAACATAATGTTCATAGATTTTTTAAATAATCAATATAATGGAGACACAGACAAGTTAACATACCAAAAGCAAGTATAATTGACTTGATGAAATGTTAGGATCTCAAAACACTCTAGCAAATAAAAACTCTTTGATTTTATTTTAAATTGTTTGTTTGACTTATTTTATTCATCAAATCCAACGTGAATTACCATGATTGAAAGGTTAAAAGAGGTTTTATATTTTTAAATGGCCTGTTGTGTAATGATTATGTTCTTTTCACAGAAACTTTTGTCTGCCTGTGTTTGGAAAGAATACACAACAGATGCTGGACGTGTGTATTACCACAACATTGAAACAAAGGAATCAAGCTGGATTATACCTAAAGAGCTGCAAGAAATCAAAGATAAAATTGCAGCTGAGGAAGCTGCACAGTTAGTATTGTTATATTTCATATTTAGTGTGATATCTGTTAGGTAGAACATTTTGTTGTTAAAAAAGCCTTTAGACATTATGCTGTTTCTCATGGATCTTATCAAAATCTCACCAATTTCCTTTAAGTGATAGTGTGATTTCAATTTTTTACAACATTTTTTGTGTACCTGGTAAATTTAATTAATATTTACAGGGCAGCACTCAGTGCAGAAGTTCCGCCTGGAGAGGTGCCTTTACCAATGTCTCCTTCAAATCAAACTGGAAGCTCGGCCTTAGATGAAGCAATGGCTAAAACTCTTGCAGCCATAGATCCTAATCTTGCCAATTCAATACCAATACCAGAAGAAAGTAAGGAATTATCATTTAAACTATGTATTGTTATATCTGCAGTGATAAATGAATTTTATACATGGTGTTGCTTTTTTTTTTAAGGTAAACCTGAAGAAATGAATGTTCCAACACAAAACAATATTATTGAGGTTCCAGAAAATCCACCAGAGCTACAATATAAGGACAAGAAAGAAGCTATTGAGGCTTTCAAGGAACTTTTAAAAGACCGAGTATGTATTATTGTTTAGGATATGCCTTAGTTAACAAACAAAATTAAAATTACAAATGTAACATAAATTTTACCTGTAATGACAAGTTCTTATTAAAATTATTTTCAGAATGTGCCGTCAAATGCGACATGGGAGCAATGTGTAAAGATAATATCTAAAGATCCTCGCTATGCAACTTTTAAAAAGCTAAATGAGAAGAAACAAGCATTTAATGCTTATAAAACACAAAAGTTGAAAGATGAACGAGAAGAGCAACGGTGAAATGATATAAAATTATTTTTTTAAGCTTTTTATATATTTTTTTATTTGCATTTATATAAGTTAACATACTCTATACAATTGCATTTCAGATTGAAAACTAAGAAAAATAGGGAAAACTTGGAAGAATTTCTGTTAAGTTGTGACCGAGTGACATCATTGACCAAATATTACAAATGTGAAGAAATGTTTAACAATCTTGAGGTAAGTTTGATAATTACACAATATTGAACTAATATTTAGTTAGTTTTTTATGTCGTGTGTAGTGTGTTAGACTTAAGATAATGATGATACATTTTGTAATCTATGTTTTTAAAACAAATAAATATTTATTATATTATATATTATAAAATTTGATTTCATTTATTATTAGATATGGCGTTGTGTTCCTGAATCTGACCGTAGAGATATATTTGAAGATTGTATATTCACAATTACTAAACGTGAAAAAGAAGAAGCTAAGGCTTTGAAGAAACGTAACATGAAGATGTTAGCACAGGTAAGAAGATAATGACTCTTTATGAAGTTTTGTTATTGATCTGGAACTTAACTTAACCTTCATTGGAATTTTGAGAACAATTTTAAATTCCTACAAATTAAATTTGATTTCAAAGTTCAGTAACATTCTTACTTCTATAAAAATCTTCTTTCCATGTTGTCATTAGGGATATAACCATAACTGGCCAAAATTGAACTTAATGTCCGCATAAAATATTTGTTTTATTTTTTATGTGAACGGCGGCATTCCAGCTCACTTATTACCGGCAACTTAAGCAATCGGCGACATGACTGAAAACCAGCAATACCAGAGGAGATACAAGTGCCTTACTGGCCTTTCGGGATAAGGGGTTTTGGGGAAAAAGCGCACACACATACAACGCTGTAGTTGTTTCACGACAGTTTTCTGTAAAGCCGTGTATTTACTCCGTTGTGCCAGCCAGTGGGTCTGGCTCTGCCACACTGAAAATAATTATCTTATTAACATTTGTGTTCATTCCGCGGTAAGAAGATACGTAAGCGGAAAAGTTTTCTTTTCCTTAAATAATATCTTCTGATTTATTTCGTTGCCGGATTCAAGACAGTCATTCATGTCCCTGGGACGCGCCGAACTTCAATGTTCCGGTGTTTTCATGGTTGTATCAACTGTAGATACTGGCTTACAGGAGTTGCAGTTTTGGGAGATAGCTGCTGACTTGTTCTAACTAAAACAAAACCATCAAATATTCGGTATTTATTAACATTTCTTTTGCTACAGGTGTTGGAAAATATGAATGAAATCACATACAGTAGCACCTGGAGCGAGGCGCAGGTGTTGCTATTAGAAAACTCTGCTTTTAAGAATGACGTAAGCTTACTAGGGATGGACAAAGAAGACGCACTTATCGGTAAGATTGTACTCGATATGATATTTCAATTCATAGTAGTGTCAAAGTAGGTTGTATCATATAAACGTTTTTCTTTTTGTTTTTTTTAGTGTTTGAACAACATATTAGGAATTTAGAAGCTGAATATTTACAAGAGAGGGAACAAGTTAAAAAAAGGAATAAGAGACAACAAAGAAAGAATAGAGATAACTTCTTGGTAAGTTTGATTCATTCGATTCAATTTTATTTTATGTCCTATAGTAACTATTTAGATTTACTGCACAAATACAAACTTTGTGTATTTTGTCACACTTTTGATGTTTTTTTTTTTCAGGTATTACTGGATACTTTACATGAAGAAGGTAAACTTACCTCAATGTCTTTATGGGTCGAGTTGTACCCAGTAATATCAGCTGACATGCGGTTCTCAGCTATGCTTGGTAGGTGATCTGGTGATACTTGTGCAATAAAAATAAGTATAAAATTTTATTTGTGTTCATATATTTCAAATTATATATCGCATTGCAGGACAGAATGGCTCTACTCCATTAGATTTATTCAAATTCTATGTAGAAAATTTGAAAGCGCGTTTCCATGATGAAAAGAAAGTAATTAAGGAGATATTGAAGGAAAAAAGCTTTGAAGTGAAACCTGACACTACTTTTGAAGAATTTGCTACTGTTGTTTGTGAAGACAGCAAGTCAGCATCTCTTGATGCAGGCAATGTCAAGCTCACTTACAATTCATTACTTGAAAAGGTCAGTAATACTTTATTTTATACACCAGTATAATATCGATATTACTTCTGCTCCTGTTATTTACGTAATTAAAAACATTTTTTTGCAATCAGGCTGAAGCCCGGAATAAAGAAAAGATAAAAGAAGAATCGAAAGCACAAAAGAAAATAGAAAGTGCCTTTAAATGGGCTTTGACTGAAGCAAATATAGACCATCAGCTGTCATGGAACGAGGTTAAAGAGAAATTAGATCTGAATGCCCCGGAGTTCGCCGCCGTGCCCTATGAAGAGGATAGGGTTAGGATATACAAAGTAAGTCCATTGCTGATTTTTTCTGTCTATCTAGAAGTCCATCTTCTACGTTCTTTCCGTTTAGTGACTACCATTACTTACTTAAAAACTTTCCTTTGGAAATTTTAGGATTTCCAGCATGAACAGGAGGAAAGTTGTTTGCATTATCATCATCCGAAATCAAGAAAAGCAAAGCGCTCCAAAAAGAAGAAACGCTCGCATTCCGCTTCATTGGTAAGTTATCAACATTGTAATCATTTCAGAGTAAAACTGTGCGGTAAGCAGTACGTCCAGTAACATTTTACACACTACTTTGATGTACGGTCGTCACAGTAAAAATATACCTTGCGGTCGTGGTACAAAGTTTTTTATGCTACGTGAGTCGACCTAACTAGTATAATAACCATTGGGATACAGTTTAGATAGTCAAATTCGAATTAACAAAATCATTCCTAAACTATTGCCTTCAACAGTCCAGGTCACGGTCTCCCTCACCTATGCAAACCGCCCGCTCCCCGTCGCCGGCCCCCAGCCACGGCACATGGACTTCAGATGAAGGCAGAAAACACAAGAAGTCAAAGAAGAAGCACCGCAAGCACTCTCCTTTACCTGTAAGCTATAATCAAAATTTTCTCAATGTAAAAGCAATTCGATATGTTATATCTTTTTATTCGCTTTTCACGCACTCGCATCAAACGTCATAAATACTAAGGAAATGTTACTTTTGTTCAGAAATCCCCGACTCCCGAAGAGGGTGGTATAACAGATGACGAAGCAATTCGTCACAAGAGTAAGAAGTCAAAACGTAGCGCTCCAAGTAGTCCTGAGGAGGAAACACATGAGCTCCCTCATAAACCCAAGAAAAAGAAAGACAAGAAGGAAAAGAAAGAACGGTAATTACATAGTTTATTTACGGAACGAAATTTTATCTCGATGTTGTGTTCTCTATATTCCTGAAACAATCATCCGGATAATTTGAGATTTAACTTGTTTAGGTCCAGCGGATCGACAGCGTGGAGTGATGCGGAGCTGGAGTCTCGTCGCGCTGCCTTGCTGGCCCAACTGCACGAACACGAGGCAGACTGACGTCGCGTTACTCACATACACATCTTCAACGACTATCCGAAAGCGCCTGCGACCACGGCCACGGCTACGACCACTGCCACGGCGACTGCCCTAGCTACTGCCACGGTCACAGTCATGGCCACGGTCACGGCCACGGCCTCCAATATAGCTGAAGCCACGTTGCTCACTGGCTCACCTCAACAACACATAGACATTGCAGAAGTTGAAGACACACAATACAACTCTGACAATTTTTCAGAATCATAAAGTGATACCACGAGACTACTTTTTACCCTGCAAATAACAATTTGTTTTATAACAATATATTACTTATATTAGAATTTATTAGTAGTATCTCACTTGCTTCATACAACGTGTCTCTGTCGTCAGCGCCGGCCTGGAGCAAAGCTTAAAATGGAGCAAGATCCAATAATGGTGCTTCTCCTATTTGCTCCTAATATATATATATATATGCCTACACCAATTCTGATGATCTCAAAAACGTACTCTGAAGTGACTAATGGAAAATCAGGCGTAATACCATCTACAGTCGGCTAAGATTACAGAATTAATAGAGTATCTATTACTCGATGACCGGATGGCAAAGCCTTTCTTAATTTTAAAGCACCAGGTTGGTGTTGTGAAAATTGTTGATGTTGCCAAAACGTTACTTTAACGTAATTGGACTAAGTCACTGTACAACATTTTCTCAATTAAAATAATAAATTGATTATTTTGGAATTAAGTTTGTTCTTGATATCGAAATTAGACTGAGCAATTTTTTTTTTCGAATAAAGTGTCTCACAGCATCACGACCTACTGTTTGTTTGGTTTAAAATTAAGAGAATGTATTTTGCAGGGGCACATGTGACATGAATCCTTATTTCATCAGGATTTAAATTATGATAAATGGAATATTTTGTATAAATAGAATGTCAAACAAAATTAAGAAATAGAATGAGTCGGAATGTATAAGATGTGTCTCTTAACACAAATAAGTTGCCAAGTTGTGTCAAATACGATAAACAATTACCATGATTAGATACACACTGTAGTTAATCTAGCTAATCTTCAACAGCTTTATGTTTGAATAGCATGGCTACTTATAATTTACAAATTATTTTTGTCTCCAATCCAAACAACAATATTATCGGTAAGTTGTATGATACTTATAGTTTCTAAATAGGAATAAATCTTTAAAAATTATTTAAATGTATATTTAATTAATTGTAATGACTTACCTACTCTCGGCGAATTAGTTATTATCTATCATATTTAGAGATGAAAACTGAAATTTTTTTTAGGCTTTGGCAAAAAGAATTAAATTGTTTTTGACATAGGAATTAGTTTTCTGTGTGAAAATAAATCTAAATGGCATAAAACAATAATTTTATTTCAGCATGTAATAGTTTTCGTAACACACCCAAGAGCAGGAATAGTGTTAGCACAAAGGTTCGACCATTTATACAAAATACATATTTATAATTATGTATGAACTTTTTTCAACACAGGATGCACTCTCCTTGTAGAAAGGTTCTATATTTGTGAATTATGAGACAGGCTGGGAGTTTTAGAGCGCTTCTTTCGGAGCTACCTTTCTATGGGCTTCCCGTGACTGTGTGAATGGGTCTGCAGCTTCGTGAATGCTCTGATTGCTTGTCTGTGAACGCTGGTGTCTCTCAAGGCTATGTGCTATCGCTAACACTGATTCTCGTCCATATCAATGACTAGCTACTTACTCTAGCGCGGTTTCACCCGCTGCCCGGTTCCATTTAATCGTAGCGTGATGTTTTATAGCCTATAGCACTCAGGACCATTGGAGCTATCTATTAGTAAAAGAATTTTGGAAATCCGACAAGCGGTTCCAAATATTACCCCCAACATACAAGCTTTTTACCTCTTTATAATATAGATATGTTGCAAATCAGTGGAATTCATTGTTATGCGGATGACAGCACGGGTTAAGTCGATGCCTTTACACCGGCCGTGCTAACATTTCTCGGGAAAACGCCATCAAGAATCGAAACAATGTTGTACGTATCCACAGAACAGATTCTATTCCGTGTACGTATCTGAAATCAAGATCTCTTTAGAGGGAATCTCATCTCAGATTGAGATAGACTTAATTTAGGCGAATATAACCCCACAAAGACACAGGTCACACCCCAATAGCCGAAACTATATGTTTATGATCGGTTCCTTATAAATAATGCGAATGTCCCAATTTAGTTTTATCCTTACTTCCAAGAACCCGCCTAATATTACATAAAACAGATAATTTAAATAATTTATTATCGAGAAATAGCGAATATTCTTGAACTTGAATATTTTACACTTTTCGTTTCTGTGACTAAAACTGGCAATAACAACAACGACAGTGAACTAAGTGAAATTGTAGATAATGTTTCCTCCCGCCGCCTAGAAGATCTACTACGTGATCCAAAGTGTTTAGTGCCGTTATATAATTTCATTAAAAATACTCTGGAAAGTATATAATATCTTGAAACCAAGACTTGGCTTCAAGGACTTGTACCCAGGCCATGAACTCCAAAAAAAAACAACAACGAAACAAGACATTGACATATATCTTTGATTGACGTCGTAAATTATTGACAATTCATGTTTTACGAAAAGTAATGGAAACTCTCTTGTATTTTATATTTCACTTATATAAAGTGTTAAGGTATTACTATTTTGTTTAAATATAAGTTCATAATTACTAACTAGTGCATTTGACACGATATATAAAGCATGTCAGTTTGGAATCCTGAACTTAAAAATGTTGTTGACGATCAATCAGAGTTTTTAAAAGATTTCCCCAAGAAATCATTTAGTAAAATTGATTCTACATCAAAATTACAAGTTATTCAAGCTCTAGATAATGGTCAATGTAAATCTGATATAGCTAGAGAGTATGGGGTACATCCTCAGACTATTTTATCTATTTACAAACAGAAAGACGCAATAATAAAAAAATACAACCAGAAGTATAACCTTCTAAAGGAAATCTGCAGTCTTAATTTAGAACAAAACCTTCTCGACTGGTTTGAACAACAATTTAAAATCGGAAATGTTATTACTGAAGATCAGCTTCGTGCAAAGGCTCAAGATATTCTCAAAGGTTTGAGTGAAAAATTTACTAGTATTGACGACTGGCTGTTAAGCTTTCGTACTAGACACAATATATCCAAATACTCGTCGGATGATATGTACGGCGAAAAAGCTAAAGAAGAGTGGAGAAAATTTCTGACCAATTCAGAGTCAAAAGATGTTTATGTGGGAGGTGTTTGTGCATTGTCACACAACCTTGATTATAATAGCTACCTAAATGGTCAACATGCTGAAAGTTATGTTTCACTTCTACTCTTAGTGAATGCATTAGGTACAGACAAAAAAGAAGTAGTGGTGGCTGGCAAAGAATCAATGGAAACAGAAATACATGTCAGAAGCTTACCAGTCTCTTACTACTATTGTATAAATTCACAAATAAATTGGTTCATAATACAGAGTTACTTAACTAAGTGGAACAATGAGTTAGCTTCTAAAGGAAACCATATCACACTGGTACTGGATGTACCAGAGAGCATTATTAACACTATGAAATTTGAAAATATAAGAGTACTTAGTGCTACTGGACTAAGCTATGTGACAAACATTTTAGAAAAGGTAGTAGAGTGTTTCAAGTATCACTATCGAAGATTACAAATCAGTAGAAGTTTAACTTACGGTAAAGACAACTCAACATTCATGGATTACATACATATGATGGGTATGGCATGGCACAACATACCACAAAAATATATTCAGAGCCTTAGCTACCCCCCTGGAGATGGCAGTTTATTCTTTAATGTCAAAGAAGAAAGTGATAGTGATCATAGTTTATCAAGATGGTGCAAGATGTATAACATACCATTGAATTACGACCAATGTCCAAGTTCCTTGGATATGATTATATTTTGTGACAAAAAATTGCCATGTATTTTCCCAGGACAATTGGATGATAATATGCAAGCTTCTGATGTGTTAAGCCAAAAAGAGTGCAACTCAACTTCTGGAATGGAGGCTTACCAGGCTATGAAAAGAATTGTTTCTTATTTACAAGGGGAGAATGCAGGAAGTTCTATAATGAAATATGCCAAATATTTGGAAAATCATCTTGAATATGGAGCTCTCCTACACATGCACCAAATTATAGCTAGTACAAATGATTCCATTTAAATAAAATATTGTTTTAAATAAAATATTTTTATTTACTCTTAGTATACATATTTGTTGACATACCTTCTATAAATATGAATGAAATTAATATTTTACTTATAATATTTATTATTACTTATATGTATTTGTAATATCATTTTACAGTAAAAGATATTTATAAAATAACTTTCATATCATAATTCTCATCTGAAAAATATTCTAGCACTTGTTAGACTGTAATACAATAACTTAAACTCTTCCTCTAGAGTTTTGATTTTCTTTTCAGTTAATGCCAATGCTTGCTGTAACTGTATAGATCCCTTGGTTTGTTGTTCTTGCAGGTGTTTCCTTTCATCATTGATGTGTTTCCAAACAGAAGCAAACCAATGAAGACCTTCAAAGTTTGAGTCCTGGAAACAAAAGTTATTCATTCATGTGATTATGCTCAACTAATTGTGTAGTGTAAGTGAGAACTTTAAAGCTTCTACAGAGCCATGCTTCGGCACGAATGGGTCGGCTCGACCGGAGTGATACCGGCCTCACAGAAAACCGGCGTGAAATAACCACAGCTTTGTGTTTCGCCGTGTGAGTGAGGTTACCGGAGGCCCAATCCTTCCCCTCCCCCAATCCCTCCTCAATCCCTAAATCTCCAAATCCCTAAAAGGTCGCCAACGCACTCGTAACTACTCCGTTGCGAGTGTCCATCGGCGGCGCTGATTGCTTACCATCAGGTAATCCGTCTGCTCGGTTGCCGATCGTTTACATAAAAAAAAAAAGTACGTGCGAATTAGCTTTACGCTAAGGCAATCAAAATTTTGTGATGTTCGGTGATCTGATTGGCCTACCTACCCCAAGTTTATTAACTAATGAGAGCATAACACAGTAACAATTCGATCTAGGTAGCAAGTAAAACAAAATCGCACTAGGCACCCTGTCTACTCCAACTCAATCGAAATTTAAAATAATGAATTAAGCTACAACGGTAGGAACAGTGGTGGTCGCTATTTTTGTGACTTAATTATTTGTAGGGTAAGGATTGAGAAAAAGGATGAATATTAAAATTCGTATAAATTGATGTTACCTGGTCGAGTAATTTCATTATATACGCAACACCCATGGCAAATCCGTCATCAGTAAATGCTGCGCCAACTTTGTTCTTCTTTGACATTTTGTCTTTCGACAATATCATATGTTCAACAAAATTTAAAGTAAGTGGCGGTATTATAATGTAGAAATTCTTTAAGTGCACATTTTTAGGATTACGAAATACAGGTGCAAATACATCAACAAGTAACTTAAAGTACTCAGTCCCTTGAATAAAATTGGATATAAGATCATTGATATTATGATCAAGATTCTCAGAAGACTGAGTTGTTCTAGACCCAAGATCACTCTCTTCACTGAGCTGTTTAAATGATTCAACATTATCAAGATTTGGTAAAAACATGGTAGCATCAGAGCAGCAATGTCTGCCTCCAGACCGGATCATTCTAACATATCCCATCGCGTTACCTATTTGACTAATGAGGTCGCGAAACAAATCTAAGTAACTTAATCCTTCTTCATTTAAACCAAGCACTTTTATTCCCTTGTTAAATTTCTCTGCGTTTTTGTAAGAATACATGTTTCCATTGACGTCGACACTTTCTTTGAAATTTCTGAGGTCTTTTATGAGCCTGGATTTGATATGTTCATCATACATAAATTGTGAAAATATGAAAAACTTCTTTTTTAGAAATTGATAAGTAAAATTTACAGTTGTATTCATAATTCCAGTACCATGTGTTCGAATTGAGTTGGCAATATGTCTGATGTTTATTGAATTCAAATGTTTGTTGTTACTGCTTTTCTCAATGAATATCTGATTGTTCAAGTTGTACAAGTATTTCGAAACAAATATGTGGATATTGCGCATTATTTCTAACACATCTAAACCTTGTTCCAAGGTTTGTGTAGGAAGATTATCTTGGACTGTCTTCAAATTAAATTTGAATTTCGCCATTTGTCGCATTTCTCCATAAGTTTTCCAATCTGATAGCACAACAGTTGTTAAATTGTAATACATAGTTGATAAGTAGTGTTCAACTGAAGGTACAACAGACATATAGAGGAAATGGATTCTAAAGTTATCTATAGTAAGTAATATTTTTTTTGTCATGTCAAAGGTAAATGGATTGATCACATCTAGCTGAAGGTGAGAGTGAATATGCAGTCTTAAATTGGTCTCTATGTTTTGACTTGCGCTCAATATAATTTTGTTTTCCATCATGGTTTTCACAATATTTAGAAATTGCTCATTTTTGGTGGTTTTATAATATTTATCAGTTTCATGTAATAGCACAATGCAATCCTCTAACACCATCAGAAAATATTTTAATTTCAATGTGTTTAATTGCATGCTAAGGTTTTGTTCAAAATAAATTGGTATTATATTCTGATGCCACAAGAGCCAAGAGCAATTGCATAGATTATCCATAGTATTGATAAAACCAGATAAAGTCTGGATTTTCTCTAAGAGTTTCCCAAGTCGAGTGTAACTGTCTTCTAAATATGTTGTGTCAGGAACAAAACTCAATGCAATGTTAGCTGCTATATTCCTCTTGACTGTAGCAGCACCTTTGAGAGCTCTTTCAGCAATTACTAAGCATGTCAGCTCATCAAGCCTCTTATTTGCATAATTTTTATCAGTCATTAAAGACTTCTTCACCTCAAGTATGGATGATGTTGATTGAAACACAAGATGTTGTAATATCATGTTGATTGAAATTATTATTTGGTTTCTATTGCGACTCACTGCATTTTTTAATGTCTTTAACATGTACATTATTTCGAACAACGATAATAACATGCTTTTTGGTAGTGGTATGCCCAGGGTAAGATGTAAATTAATTAAAGTGAGCACTGAATGATTTGTCGTAGAAGCTATGTCCAGGCCTGTCATAAGTGTTTTTGCATGTAAGCTCATTTCAGCAGCACTTAACTTGTGATGGTTAGAGGAAAATATTTCTTCAATTGAAAGGACCCATTGTGTACACAAAAGATGAAGATTTGCAATGTCTTTTGCTAAGGTAGCTTTCTTCATCATGATGTAAGCTTGTCTTGCTTTGACCATAGTCTGAGATATTTTGTCGTGTTTTGCAAATTGGGATGCAACATGTCTTTGAAGAAACTGCTCAGGAAACCACACGGTGGTGCCAATAATATTAACACTGTGCGCCTAAAAAATAAAAATAAAATGTGAGGGGAAAATCATCAAATGACTTCTCCCGCCCAGGGTTGGGCGGGAGGGAGTGTCGGACCCTTACTGACTAAACCCCGTTCCTTCTCCAGCTCCGTGCCGAGGTCGCGATGCCTTGTTGCACTTACCCCGTAACCCCGGCTGAACATCAGCCCTATAGAGCCCCGTCTGTGGTGGTCAATTGGACCTTTGAGGCGCACGCCGAACGGCCGAACGCCGGGCGGCGAGCTACCCTTACTCGCCGTCCGCAGATTCACGCTTACGGTGGCTGGAGATCATTTCTCGATCCCCGACGCCCGGAATGTCGCCTACTGCGGCGGCTGGGGCGTGAGGAGGATAGTTCCCTCACGCGCTCCGCCTCCTCCTTTGCGATCATCACTGCTTCGCAGAAGGCGGAGGCGGCTTCCCAGTTTCTCTCGCTACGAACCATGGCCTCGACTCCAATTGCATTGAATAAATGAATGATAATATGGAGCCTGAACGCAAGTGAATAGCAATAGGCTCAACTATTTTAAGGGTCATAATATACATATTTTATAGTATTTGTCCTACCTCTGGGAAGAAAGACATGAGGTATACATTTGATTATTACCTTTGTGTTTAGTTCCATTAATGCTTTGAAGATTTTCTTGTCATTGGTGCCAAACAAATGTGCAGACAGTACAAAAAGGCCATTAACTTTGATACATTTGTACAGATTACTAACATTGGGTTGCTCTTGTACAAGTTTATCTAAGTTAGTTATTGCTTGTTTTATATACTTAGTAAATTCTGCAGCCACCAATGCACAATTCTTGTCAACTAAACTTCCCCTTAAAACAGTCAAATTTTGAAGGCTTCTGTGTACAATGTCATCATTCATAATTTTATTAGTCACGGTATTTAAAGCCCCCAATATAGCCTTGAACTTATCTTCCATCAAATCGAGGCTTTCAGGTGCATTACTGAAGGATTTTATAGTTTTGCAATATTTGTTCCAATTTGTAACTAAAGAAGTATTTGATATTAACACTTCTAACAAAACAAGGAGAGTAAATAGTTCTCCAATGTAGTTGATAATGTAGTGCAATTGGATGCCATCTGAAATTTGGATTATTAAAGTATTCAGTTAAATTTAATACCAAATGTTATTTTTGTTATACAGGAGCAGAGAACTTACTAATATTTATGGCACTTTTAGTAAATATAGCAAAAACTTGGCTGCACAGATTACGAAGCACATCATCACAACGGCTGGTGAATGCACTTAATGCACAAATTGACTCCATTTGTTTGCTAATATCATTGTTATTGTATTCTTCATACACTGATAAAAAATCGAAATGCCTGTAATTAAATATTATTATCAATGTCAGTACATATATTATTAACTTTAAAAAAGTAGGAGGTGATAATCCTTTATTTTATTTAGTATTAGCTTTAATAATAATGATAGATAGTAAAAATGTTAAGCATGATATATAAACTTACTTTTCAAATGCTTCTTTTTTCAGAGCAACAACTTCAGTGCACAATGAAGTAAGCACACTCAAAACTTTGGTCATTAAAGTATTATCAGATGATACCAGTTCTGTTACAGGAATAAGTTCACCAGTTGTCATTGCTACCTGTATTGGTAAATAAGTTCTGTTCTCTTCCCAAAATTCATCTTTTGTTGCTGACACGAGATCCTGATACTGTAATTTGAAGAACTGTCCATATCTTTTAAGTAACCACGTCCCAGCTTCCTTTTGTATATCAGTTCTCATTGTGTAATTATTCTTTTTGGTACTTATACTGAAAAAACATTCAACATACAAAATGAATATTTATACAGTATATTATTAAAAGTGTTAACATGTTCCCTTCTTGTTCATAAAAAACCTATTGCATATTAATTTAATAATAAGTATATACTTTTAAAACCTGTTTTGATAAAATACTTACCTACATTAGATTTTTTTACACTTCAACTTATTTAAATGACTGACTGATGAATTTTAACACTAGGTATAAGCTTTATATTGGTATTAAAGTTTGGAGGTAAAATATTATTCTTTTTTATTTCTTATCGCATAGGTACATGAGTTTTATTCTTTGTAATGAAAAATCTTTGACAGGATCTGTGAGTGAATAAAACAGAAATTAAATACCTAGTAGGTACCTAAAAGTGGTTGTCTATACTCGGAATTTTAATTCCATTCCAGTTTTGACAATTTCAGTGTTGCAACGTTATGACACGTACTAAATTGTGACGTTGCAAAATTATTCGATGTGGAAATCGAATATTTCTGGATCGATTCCTATCGTTTATAAATTTAATCTCGTAAACTAAGTTTATCAGGAAATAAAATGTTTCTGAACCGATAATTTAGGTTTGTCAATTAATTAACGATCTGACTTTTCTTTTGTAATTGTGTGTGAAATTAATAAATAATCTGATCATGAAGGAACATGACAAATAAAACAGAAATTTTATAAATTGTCGCCGTCATCGCTATCGCTATCGCTGTTACATTCTGTAACATTTATTATGAATTGTGTCTGTGATTTTTATTGTCAATTAACATATCTAGGTTACTCATTTTATCCTCTTCTTTGACAACATGGGATACGCATTTAAACCATTCGGTAGCCGTAATTTTTTGAATGCCTTCCTGAAACTGATTCACTGATTGTTAATCGATTTATGTGTTCATCACTACAACGTTATATGTGGTATCATTATTTCACAAAATGACAATAGGTCATGTCAAATCAGGAATCGAATTAAAATTCTGACTATACCTAGTTGACAATTGACATTTGACATAATTTTTTTTTTTTTTGGAGTTTATGGCCTGGACATTTGACATAATATTGACCATGACCACAGATTATGTACAAGTTTATTGAAATTGTGTTGGTATCGCATCACCAAAACCGTTAGTTATACTGATTACTGAACATGGAACTCCTTATCTTCAAATTAAATTATATTCTTATTTCGAAGTAGTTTCAAATCTGGTATTTTTTCTACAAGAGTTATATCGACAGTAAATGGATTGTTTTCTATTGAAGATTATTTCTTTTATTTTTAACATAACTTTTCTGGTCTTACACCCGGTTTCCGAAAGGTCGATCAATGTTAAAATCAATTTAATCACTTGTCAAGTCATCTGATTGGTTGACTGAATTATCAACAACCAATCAGATGACTTGACAAGAGATTTAACAGCAGATTAGTTAATTTTAGCGTTGACAAGCCTTTCAGAAACCGGGCGTTAGTCTTGTATATTCATATATTCTTGTTTATCAATCAATAAACAAAATAAAATAGTCTGTAAAATAGATAAACATTTATTTTCAACACACCCAAACATTCACACTATTGCTTTTTAAAGCTTTTCAATATGGGATAAATGTTATCAAATGCTTCATATATTTCTTCTCTTACTTTAGCTCCAGTTAACACAACTTTACCAGAAACAAAAATCAATAATACTATTCTAGGTTTAACCATTCTATAAATAAGTCCAGGAAATAATTCAGGTTCATAAGAACTGAACTGTCCATGAGTCAGTACTAAGCCTTCAAGGCGAATTGGAAACTTAACATCACAACTTCCAACCATATTCTGGATCTTGAAGTCTAAAAACTTTGCCTGAAAAAAGGAAAACATAAGATTAATTTAAAATAAATCATAATTTAGACTACCTAAATATTTTTGGAATAGATTAGTAAACATCCTGATCAATTGGCCCTGCCCATTGACATGTGTAATAGCAAAGGGTTAAGATTGTTTATCATTTTTAATAAATTTAGTTTTATTCTTTTCTTTTTATTCATAGAATATGAAACTAATGAATTTTCTACAACATCGGGAATAATTAATGGTGTTTATAACTTAATAAGTACTTACTGTAAAACCTAGCTTCTGAATAATTCTAGCATATTTTCTAGCAGCTAAACGAGAATCTTCTTCACTTTTGGCACCAGTGCAAACCATCTTCCCTGATGAAAATATCAGTGCTGTAGTTCGAGGTTCTCTTATTCTCATAATTACTGCAGCAAATCTCTTTGGATTATATTCTGCATTTCTGGCATGAAGGGCTATTTTTTTGAGGTCTAATTTACAATTAAGGTTCACGGTAGACACAATATTTCTGAAAATTAAAAGTACAATAATTTATTTTTATCAAATTGATTTAACTTAATGTTTTATTTCATGCTAAAAACTAACTGTAAGTACTTACTGTAACTGTGGTACTATGCCAGGGTCTGCAGAGTGGGGTGTCATGGGGGTCATTGGTGCTGGACTTGCCTGACTTAACATTTGTTGACCAGCAAGGCTGCCACTTGTTATCATAGGTGACATTAAGTTTTGCTAGAAACAATAAATATTAACACTTAAGAAAAATCAATTCTTGGGTCATCTACAACATAGTACAACTTTGGTATTTACTAATAAGCTAGCTATAAGTGTATTAAATAAATATAATTACTGGTGTTTGAGGCTGCATCATCTGTTGAGGTGTAGCATAGCTGGCAGCTGGTGCGTAGGTATGAACTGATCTCTGAGGAGTCCCCATTAGCGAGGCGCCGAACCCGACCAGTGGTGAGGAGCCCATGGCGGCAAGGGCATGTTGTTGTTGCTGTTGTTGGTGTTGATGCTGCTGTTGCATAGCATTTGGTAAAATTTGTTGATCCTCTTCTGGCTGATGCAAAGGTGTATCTATACCAGGTATATTGTACGGACTCGGTAGCATTTGATCCATTTTGAAGTTTGTTTTTCACTGGTAAGGAGTCAATTAAACTGATAAGTCTTAAACACTTATTTCTAACTACTCTTATCCTAAATTATTAATGTATAGTTCACTTTTGAGTCTGTATGATTATCAGGTATAATGTTATTTAGCTTTCATTTTATGTATTTATGTTTGGAGAAGAATGTTCTCCTGTCCCCACCGCCATAAAACTTCGGCAAACGAAGGAAACGAAGTCGATTTACGTCAATGTCAATTGTTTAGAAAAGTCAGTGTTGGATAGTTCATAGCCAAACATTTTTTAGACTTTTCTTATCACTTAAAGGTAGATTGAATGCGCTTTGAATGAGCTGGTTTGAGATTATGTAAAATTGAATTATAGAAATAAAATTTTATATAGAAACATGATTATTTTTCGTTCATTGCATTGAACCATAAACTATCAATACACCACTGAGACCATAGATTCCTCTATGGTATCGTAGTTTCTATATTGTCTGTGATTGTCAATTTGTCACTTTTCAGTCAATTGTCAATGTCATGGTTTCTGATGGTTTCTTTTTGTACGCCACGCTTACTTTAATGAAATTGTAATTGAAATCTATATTTTGAAACGAGTGCTGAAATTAATAAGATAGGCCTTACAATGGCAGAAACTATGAAGCAAACCGTTGCCACCATATTGAAAAGTATTGAAAGGTAACAAGCATACATATTTTTAGTTAAGGTTAGGTATAATTATGTAGAAGTGACCGCTACCAAATTTTAGTAGCATATTATTTGTAAAAATAGACATAATAAACACCATATGAATTGAATTGTCCATTTAGTTGGTCGCTATTAAGGGGGAGAACAATTGCTACTATTAGTCGTATGCGAATTCCCTATTCATCATTACTTTTTGTAGGTCTTGATTCATGAATTCATTTTGTTGACAGGTACAATCCTGCCAATCTTCAAACTCTAGAGAGGTACGTCGAAATGCAGTCTCGCGAAAATACATATGACTTAGAGGCAAACCTGGCGGTTTTAAAACTGTACCAATTTAATCCAGAGAAGTTCAATGCTGATATCACATGTCAAATTCTGTTGAAAGCTTTGACTAATTTCCCTCACACAGATTTTACTCTGTGTAAATGTCTGCTTCTAGAGTCGGTTGTAAGTAAATACAATTTCAAATTACTTTGTAGCTTTTTGTATGTTTTGAATGAATTTACCTATTTCAATCTTTTATTTTGGAATTCTATAAGCTAAAACTTTAACTTAGGTATTTAAAGTAAACTTTTACTGGAGTCATAGTATTCATATAACATGTAATAATTTGATTTTTAGGTGGAAAATGAGACAATATCTCAGATCAAATATTTGGCTGATATTTTAGAGCAGTGTGACTTTGCTCAGTTCTGGAACCGAGTACATCAGATGCCAGAACTCTGCAACCGTATCAGTGGGTTCCATGACTCTATCAGAAAGTTTGTGTGTCATGTTGTTGGTATTACATTCCAGACCATTGACAAAAACAACCTTGCTAACTTATTGGGAGGCATTGATGGTAAGTATTTTACAAACTATTATATTATAGTAAATGTACAGGCTAGATGTGATATTATAGCAACACTCAATTACATAATTTTATCTACTTATATGCAGTATTAAATATTTAATAATCATACATACTTTTTATTTTAGATGTGACATTGAAGCACTGGGTTAAAAAGTATGGCTGGAGAGACGATGGCAACTTGATCTTTATTGCTAACCAGGATGAAAACATTAAGACTAAAAACATTACTGAGAAAATAGAATTTGACCATCTAGCTCCATTGATGGCTCTGTTGTAAACCTTATGCAACTTTGTATTGAATAAATTGTAAAATACAGATATTGTGTCATTTCTTGCTCTGATTGCTTCCATCACAAGCTGTTATGTTTATTATTCACTTTTTGTGCAATTGTCAACTTGATTTGTTTTCAATCATTCTTGTTTACATCATTTATTTGGGTCTATAACTGACTTACAGAACTTGGTTCCAAGGAGTTCTATAGAATTCTATACATCTGTAAATATTATCACTGTAATTATTTTGGTAAAATAAAAGAAGAGTTTAAGTTAGAATTTTAATTAAATTATTTATTCTTACGTATTTTTTTATATACAATGACTTGAAAAATATAACAAAAAACAAAAACGTAATCAAACAAATAATAATAGAGTGGGTACATATATTCTTTACGATTTCTTTGCATGACTGTAACCATGTTCTTTGCCCCCAGCATGTCCGCCTTTCTTTCCGTGGTCGTGATGATGTGCGAAATGCTCTTCGTGACCATGGTGACCCTTGTGCCCTTTGTGGTCTTCATCATAATGTCCTTTGTCATGATGCCCTTTCTTGCCATGGTGTTTCTCGTGATGTCCCTTTTCGTGGTGACCGCCTTTCTTGTGGTGACCTCCCTTTTTATCATGATGCCCATGAAAGTCTCCATGTTTGTGATGGTGTCCGCCCTTGTGGAAGTCGTCGTAGAATTTATGTTCCTTGTGATATTCATCTTTATGGGATTTATGATGAAAACCAGTGGTCTTTGAACCCTTTTTGTGACCCTTTTTGTGCCCGAATTTTCCGCCCTTGTGCCCGTGCGCGGCCTCGTGGTGTTCACCATGATGATCGTGCTCATCGTGGTGCTTCTTTTTGTGTCCTCCGTGTTCGTCATGATGTCCTTCATGGTGGTGTTTTGCATGATGTCCATGTTCGCCTTTATCATGATGATGATGCGACTTGTATCCCTTATCGCCTTTATCCCCGTGTTCTTCATGGTGATGCGAATGGTGTTCATGCCCGCCGCCTTGTTCGTGGTGGCTGTCTTTGGCCTTCTTGTGTTCAGTACCAGCAATCGCTTGGTCTGCGGATGCACTGCCAGCAGCAGAGAGGTCGACGCCTTTGTTTGCTACTAGTTTTGTCGCAGCGCTGGCTGCGTCGTCTTTGTCACCTTTTTGATTTGCTACATTACGCGCGTGCGTTAGAAGCACCGCGCAAAATAGTGGTATCAGGAATAAGAGCCTCATGACTGAAAAATAAAATAATAACTATTAATAAATTTAAAACAACGATACGCTTTAAAAGTCGTAAATAAAAACCATTTTTTTTTTAATTTACAGTGTTCTACTCACTTTGTTTGGCTCGACTAGAGACGTAGCCGTCACCAAAGCTACGTTAAGAGTGTCAAAACTGTTTCCGCGCTTTGAATTTATAGATTAGATCGCTTTCATCTGAAGTCGATTACAAAGTGGTGTTTGGTAATCATTGCTGCAGATTTCTGGACGACTGATTCGGTGGCGGCTGCGCTGCGGTGTCTGTGACGACATCACGTTATGGTTAAACTGAATTAGTTCCGATAAATCGATAGCTAATTAGAGTACGTACCACTTTGATTTATTGATTTTCTTTAATAATGAAACATGTTTGTTTTAAATTAACTTTCATTTATTTACAACGAGGTAATTCATATTGTAACAAAGTAAAATAAAAAACAATCTTATATTATCAGTGCTTGCCGTGGTGGAATCCCCAATGTTTATGGTCTTCGTGACCACCTTTCTTCCCGTGGTCGTGATGATGGTGGTGATGTTCCTCATGGCCGTGGTGGCCTTTATGTCCTTTATGGTCTTCATCGTAATGGTGTTTGTCATGATGTCCTTTCTTGCCATGGTGCTCTTCATGATGACCGGAGTGATGGTGTCCGCCTTTCTTGTGATGTCCACCGTGTTTCTCGTGATGTCCGTGGTGGTGTCCGTGCTTGTGATGCTTGCCTTCCTTGTGGTGGTCATCGTAGAAGTGATGGTCTTTGTGGTACTCGTCTTTGTGGTATTTCTTGTGGTAGCCCTCAACTTCTTCACCCTTATCGTGATGCTTCTTGTGATGATGCTTGCCACCCTTGTGGTGGTGTCCGTGCTCGTGATGTTTCCCGTGGTGGTCGTGCTCATCCCAGTGCTTCTTGTGATGTCCTCCGTGTTCGTGGTGATGACCCGCATGGTGATGTTTGCCGTGATGACCATGTTCTCCCTTATGATGATGATGATGTCCTTTGTGTCCTTTGTGCCCTTTTTCTCCATGTTCGTGGTGATGATGTGAGTGGTGCTCCTTGCCGCCTCCTTCTTCGTGATGATGACCGTGATGACTGGCCGCTGCGACCAGGTCTCCCTGCTGCTCCTCCCGTCCTGAACAAGCTACCACGACACATGCTAGCACGGCTAGGGCGACCAGCGACCTCATTGTTATTGTTTTATAGCGCACTATTTCTTATGGATTGGGCTACTTGGACCGAACTGCTTTTGAACCGCCTGTGACAGCATTTTATATCATTAGATTTGCGGGTTGCAGTCGGTGAAACCATCGACAAGGACGCCACGCCGGCCAGCTCGGAACGCGTTACGCCTTACTATTGCGACATGTCTATCTGTCTACGCAAAATGGTAAGAAAGACAATACCAATTAATTCATATACCATTAATGTAAGAGACAGTAGTGGCTGAGTGTAACTACGCTGGCAGTAGGAACAATCTGCTATGTTATACGTAGTAATGATATTAAGCCTAGGTAAAAAATATTTAAAGATTTTCCTAACAATATTCCTAGAGTGTGATTTCTTAGGATGTTAAATGTTTGTACAATAGATAGAAGTATTTTTGCGTTTCCGCAACTACTTGACAAGAGCCGCAAATCTTACTCAGCTTTTGTAAGTAGGAAGATATACCTTAGTTCTTAAAACTAACTATTGCAGTCCTCTTACTTAGCCTGTGTTCTCGTTCGCTCAGGAATAGGTACAGGAAAAAAAAAGAAAAAAAAGGGTCACACAAGCAAGATTTTAAAAACTTTCGTTACAAACATAGTTTCACATACGCAAGACACCCAGACCCGGAACAATAATTTGTAGATCACGCAAAGAGTTGTTTCGTGCGGGAATCGACCCGCGACACGTTGCTCGGCAGCCAGTTCCCCAGCCACCTGCACATTAAACGAGTTTTTTAATTAGATTCAAGTGCGTTTACGTCTTTTGTGTGTTGTTAAGGATTAAGGACTTGAGATTGGGCCCCCGGTGAACTCAGACACACGGTGGCGAAATACTTATAACTTAAGCGTTGTTCAACGCCAGTATTCTATGAGGTCTTTGTATCAATCTAGTTGAGACATCACATTCATGCCGAAGCAAGAAGCATGGCGCTCCTGACTCTCCCATACTTGTATAAATACTTAGATATACATAGGTAATTAGGTAAGTTATAAAATATAATAACGATTGTTTTGGTTGGATGTCCAAATTGATGCATTACGATGTACATACTCGTGCTATTTATAATGGTAATTGTTATGATAATACAGTTAATTATTGTGAAATAACATAATTGTAATGTATAATGTCTCCAGGGGATGCCCGTGCTTGGTGATCCGTAACATTAGGTTTTCTTTGACACTTACTGTCTGTACTTGTAATTTCAGGATAGAATCGGCGATTTTATAAGTCCTGAGCACGGTCCTGAGTTATCGCACAATTATTATTATTATGCATTGTCTTTGTCATTGTTATCTTTGAATGAAGATGTGTTCATGTTTATAGGTATTATAAAAATTAACATAGAAGCTTTACTCGAAAAATTAACGTGTGGCTCTTAACGAAAATAAAGTTTTTTTTTACTCTATATTATATTTTGAGACTTTTAAACGCCTCAGGAAAATAAAGTAAGGTAGATATTAATTATTGTCCCACTGGCTTCTAAGATACAGGATCATCCTAGTCTATGAGACAGGGATCTCAATACTTTATAGCAACCAAAAATGTAACTTATTTACCTACCCAAATTATGTACTTAGATACCTATATGTCAAAGTTGTGTTTTTCCTCAATTAATCATTTTATGCATTTATTGTTTTGAATGTTTTGACGTTCAAACTTCTTACGACGCGACAGTCAGATTTTCTTCGATGTTCAAATTGTTCTACAAGATAAATGCCCCGTTTACGCAAACGCGGTTTGTCGTGCGGCGCGTCTCGCGATGTCGTGCGTTGACGAGCCGCGTGTGCGTAAACGAGGCCCAAGTATTGAATGCGTTGCGCTATAAGCTATAGGCATTTCTTGAAAATTTTTGCCTATACGAGTAGGAAGGTGACTTTGGTGACAATTCGCCCCTCAGATAGAAGCTTAGATGTGTTTAGATAAAATTAATAAAACACCATAATAATTTAATGCTTGTTAATTTTATGCAATATAATAGCTACTGTCGCGCGGTTTCACCCGCTGCTTAGCTCTATTTGATCTATAGCACTCAGGAACATTACCTATAGCTACCTATCAGTGAATGAATTTCGGCAATCCGACCAGCGGTTCCAAAGATTATCCCCTACATACAAACTTACAAATTTTACCTCTTTATAATATTACTATAGATAAATCCCAAATTTAATAATCTAAATTCCAAATTCTTGGCACTATAGATATTATTAATATATAGGTGGGTACGTATTATCTATGTAAAATAATTTTAATCTACTTTCTTTAAATAATCCTTTCAATGCACTCGTCATTGCTTTGATGTTGCGTGATGATGCTTGCGTTGGCTGATCGTTTTTGCTGTGTAGGTATCTCATAAAAGTTCTATGTTAAATCATAAATATAAGTAGACCATAGACTAAATATTAAGGTAAATAGGTTTTAGTTTTTTACTTTCGATTGTCAGACATATCTGTTAAGCTTAGATAATGCAAGCTAAACAAGTGTGAAATGCAAGGGTAAGTGGCATTCTGAAGTCTGTGTATGTAGGTATACATAAAGTCACCAATCTAAGTTTTTTTTATATGTACGAGTTAGTTAGTCAGAGTTCGTAATTACCTACTTATTCATATTTTATTAGACTCACGCCTAGTTTTAGTATTAGGTAGAACTAAAAACTTCTGTACCTACCTATTAAGTAGGTTAAATAGGGAGTACCTTCATGGTATGTCCCTGATTAGGTTACCTACATTATAATATTATCGTTGTTCAATAAAAACCATAAAAATGTCGTGCTCTATTTACCTTACCAGTCATGATTTAGGTACCTATTCAAGTCCCTCACTATTTAAGTAATTATCTGCTGATTGCGGTGACCTTTTGCTTTGCAACTAAGTAGGTAGGTATGTATTATTTAGGTACCTCGTAACATTCAAGTGAATTCATTCAAAGGGACTGTTAATATCGTTAGTGAATAAAGTTTCGTTAAGGTAAGATTAGGTTAAAGTGGAGAAAGAGGAGTAAATAAATAATGATATTTATAAGAAAAATTGTTTTACTTCGTATAAAAATATGAACAAATAACAATAACAATTTCCATTTTTAACAATAGAAATTCATAACAATCAGGGAGTATAACATTATCAGTGCTTGCCGTGGTGGAAGCCCCAGTGCTTGTGGTCCTCGTGGGCGCCCTTCTTGCCATGGTCGTGGTGGTGGTGGTGGTGTTCGTCGTGTCCGTGGTGTCCCTTGTGTCCGTGGTGGTCCTCGTCGTAGTGGTGCTTGTCGTGGTGGCCGTGCTTGCCGTGGTGTCCCTCGTGGTGGCCGGAGTGGTGGTGGCCTCCCTTCTTGTGGTGTCCGCCATGACCCTCGTGGTGCTTGTGGTGGTGGTCATGTTTGTGGTGCTTGCCCTCGTGGTGGTGGCCGTCATGGAAGTGATGGTCCTTGTGGAAGTGGTCCTTGTGGTATTTCTTGTGGTATCCGTCGACATGCTCGCCCTTGTCGTGGTGTTCTTTGTGGCCGTGTTTACCGCCCTTATGGTGGTGCCCGTGCTCGTGGTGTTCACCATGGTGGTCATGCTCGTCCCAGTGCTTCTTGTGGCCGCCACCGTGCTCGTGGTGGTGATGCTCATGGTGGTGCTTGCCATGGTGGCCGTGGTCGCCCTTGTGGTGGTGGTGATGTCCCTTATGTCCCTTGTGTCCCTTGCCACCATGATCATGGTGATGATGCGCATGGTGCTCGTGTCCGCCGCCATGCTCGTGATGGTGGCCCGAGGCAGCGACCGCGAGGTCGTCGCTCTTGTCCTCGTAGCCGGAGCACAGTGCCGCTAGGCATAGCACACCAAGTACTAGAAGCACCCTCATGATTAGTATATTAGTTTTACTTCCCCGATAAGACCTGAGAGGAAGTCCGGTTGTAACTGACCTCTGATACATTGATTGCCTATTTATATCGGTAAGTAGTAGAGCACAGTCTACAGCGGTGGAGAAATTATTCCGCAAGCGTCTGTACTACTAGTTCATGGACAAATTAAAAAAGTCTGCATTCATTCTATTTGATGTTTTCATTGTAGGTGATCTAGGTGTCTACTAAACTTCTATAGGGCAAGTACCTTTGGCAATCAGTTACGTGTCACACACACCTCAACGCTTACGACGAATTGCGTAATATTTAGTTTTATGTCAATTGGTAAATAAATGATTAACTTTCTTTACCTCTTTGTATTGAGTGGACCAAGAATACTAGGTAATAATTTCTGTAAAATGATTTAAGAAAGTTTTAATAATAATATTCCCAGTCTTATAGCACCTATATTTCAGGTAAACGATTAAGAGCAAGTAATGTGTTCATATACTCGAACTTGAGTATCGGTCGAGCGAGTGCGTGGCTAATGTAGATTGTAGGCTGTATTTGAACAGGTCTCGACATCAATGGTGGTATTGTTATCCTCACCACGTAGAAATCTTCATTCACATTCACACACAGTTGATTGACGGTTCATAAGCTGGAGTCTTCGGAAATTATCTGCTTAGTGGGTCTTTTCGCGTTTCAAATGCCGCTATTTGGATAGCGTTAAACAATTCTTCCGAGTGACTTGGCACTGTTAATCCCCGCTCTTGTTGGCCCATGTCCGGATCTTCACAACATAATACAGATCTGTTTGAGTATTCAGTTTGATTATACACGCTTATGAGTTCATCACGGTCTTTTGTAAACATTTGTGTGTATTTCATAAATATATGGGTTCGCACATGTTCAGTCATGTTTTATGTTGGCTTAGGATTATTTAAGGTAATGTAGCTATGTAGATTGTAGATATAATGACGGTGAAGAATTAGTACTTAGGTGAAATAAACACTTTAGACGTAGCTTTCTTGTGCAATTTTAAAGCGTATTAGAGAATTAAGCGTACTGATTTTGTAAGAATCTACATATACAATTTTGTATAAGTGGCCACTGTAATATGTGATTAATGCTTAAACATATTTGATTGTAACGTATGTACACTTTATAATATGTGATTAATGCTTAAGCATTAATCACATTATAAAGTGCACATATAATAAATATAACTCTGAAAAAGTCACATGGGTGCTAGCAAGGTTTCAAAACAGCATTCCCATGCAATAGAAGCGGGCGCCTTAACCTCCACGCCACTTCGACTTTTTTGCAATAGGGAATATTCCTAACACAAGAGGCACTTGTAACTTCTTTAGATTTGCGGGAATCCATGGGTGGCACCGATTGATTAACATTATCTAGGAGACTTATTTTTAAGAAAATGACAATATATGTCCTATCAAAATTTCATAAAAAAATCCTGTTTCAGAAGGGCAAGGCACACAGTAAACACACTTATAAATGTATAATTTCACTAGAATTTCAAGAACACGCTTAAGAAGAGACCACCAATCATCTTTACTCGGAAACAAATTCAAAGTTACTGACAGGAATATAGGACTAAAAAAACGCAATAATATTTTGGCTGACCCAAACTTGGAATCGGTGGTAGTAAGCAGTTGGGAGAATGGAGGATATATGTATTACATACATACATCATATAGGTAAGTATTAATTATATGTTACGTATATATAAAAAAACATGTCTGTTGCACAAATTAACAATAATGAGTTCTAAGTTCATGATCGTCACGGTCTATTGAACTCTTTTCTAAAGGTTCGCTTTCAAAAGAGCCCCGAGATTTCAAGGCTGCCGTCCGTGGCCTTCCTAAGTACTTTCGCTCACTGTGGAAGAATTAACAAAACGTTATGTAGCTACATTACCTAGATACTTGAGAACCTGTAGAACCTACTTAGATATTATGAAGAGTAGATATAATTAACTAAGTTCTTATACATTAACTCTAACAGAATCGGTAGGTACTTAACGTTTTGTTAAAGCAAACCCATAAATATATTCCTGTACGGAAACCTTTTTATAAAATGCAAATTGAAATAAAAAAAATATTATATTTCGTGGATTCGTAAGTGTTGTCTAGCAGTTTCGAATTAATTTTAATTCTGCGAAGATTTATATTTTTTATATCAAAAACATAATATTTTTAGTTTTTTAATGTATCACGTGATTCTACTATATAACTACTTATATTTATGTTCCACATTTAGCATTTTAGTTACATTGACAAATCTATCCACAGTGCCACACCGAATATTCTGTATTCGACGTGTTACATAATTTTCTAGTTCAATTGAATTCATTTCAGGTAGCAGTACATAACGGCTGACCATTTGTTAACTATAATTAGGTGGTGAATGTAATTATATTTTGTGAGAACCATGCTTAGGCACGAATAGGCCTTAGCTATATCACGGCCTCATAGAAAACCAGCGTGTTATAACGCTATCGTTTTGTTTTATCGTGTGAATGAATTCATTTTACTAATATTATAACTGCGAAAGCTACGATCTTTTGTTGTTTGGATGTTTGATACTCAATCACGCCAAAACGGCTGGACGGCTCATCCGCAATAGGACTTAGGTTATTTTTCATCAACATACCACGCGGGCGAGGCCGCGGGCGGAAGCTAGTAAACACATAATATTAACATATTATGCCCGAGCCAAAATAAAATTGCTGGACCACACAAATAGTCCCTCCGCAGTCGATCTCTTATTGTGCCAACTTGAGCAATATCTAGCTTTATTTAATGCTTAAACAAAGACAGACAAACAATAAAATTAAAACCCTGCTACAAAAGTTCAATCACAACTAATTAATTAATTAAAGTGATAATTTAATTTAATAACTAAGAAGAAATAAGTAAGATATTAATTAATATAATTTCGTAGAGGCTTGTAGGCGTTTTGATGTAGCATGCATTTCGTAGCACATACTCGTAGCAAGTGTGTTGTGAAAGTGTAAGTAGTAAGTAATAGTCTTCCTTATTGATCGTTTGCTGTCCAAATCATAATTTGTTTGTAATGTATGTACTTAACTTAGCATAAAAAGTTTTTCAAAATAGTAGCACCATGTATACAATAATTTCGTTTAGGTTACAGTAATAAAGTCACTCCCAAAATCAAAATAAGTAAATACGGTGAATCTGTCACGTAACATAAGCTTTTACCATATTTTTAAAAGTTTCAGTGTTAAATCTCGACGAAGAAATCATACGTCTCAGTCAAAGGCCCAGTTTTCAGTAAGGCACAGGGTACTAATGCTCTTAGTGCATCCAGGGTGGCGTACTTAAGAGCATTAGGCGCTAAGAAGCCTAGCACTACATCACTCAATCCTGTTAGCGCGTGCGCTGCTAACACTGTTATTACTGTAACATTATATTCTTAGGATTAAAATAATATTCAGATGTAGGTGAGTGGGGTGGTAGGAGGCTTGGTAAGGTGTAAACTGTGAGAGTTCAGGTATCTCGCTACTAATGTATTTGTATACAGTTGAATTAGCTCTCAGTGAGTAAATAAAGAATAAGTAGGTATTGTAAGTTGCCGTTTTATAATTGTTAAATTTGAGTCAAGTTTTGTTAAGATTACACTTTACGATAAATACAGAAGTGATGAGAGATTTCAAAGTTATGTAAAAAGTACAAAATTAGACACTGTCTCTATTAAAACCCAAAAGTCCAAGCGGAATAGAATTCCGCAAACATGTGCAAAAGCGCAGATCGTATTGTGTGGGTATATCGCATGTGTACTTGTGTAGGTATATCGATACCCATATAATGTTTACTGCATGGCGAACGTGGTTTGAACAACACATTGTTAGCAATCAGGAGGTTAGCTCCGGATAATCCGGGCTATTGTTAGCTATTTTAATGCTTATGCCCTTTGTGTGTGTCCTGTATTAAGTCATACGCGGATAATCGCTGTATTATGTAGAGTTAATTTTCCATTGGCTCGTTCGTAGGGATTGGCAGCTGCTTACCGTCGCAGCGAAACAAACTGGCGACATTTATGCAGTCAAATAATACATGTATTATTTACATGTACATATTCAATGTGTTGTCACACGTCGCGTTCTAGTTAATTCCACTGAAATAAATGACGAACCGATATTTTATTCATCCGGCATTGCTGGATGCTGTTCGTTTAATATTTTAGTACCTATTTGCGTTCCATATTTAATTGATTCTGTGCCTGTGCCTATCCGTTTATATGTAATAGGTACCTATGCTTATTATAAGAATCGAGAAAAATATAAGCTTCTGTTTGTCAGTTGACGTCATGTAAACAAATTTAAAATTGTTTACATTGATCTGGTCGAAAAATCACGGTGGTTTTTACGGGTAATCTTGACTTACTGTCACGCATCGTCGAGTGACCAATATTTGTCGGAATAGAACACCGTAAAGATGTTTCCGCTTCGTAAAAGTATCATATTAACTGTTCAAACATTGGATCGGAGGTTTTATCGCTGGCAGCTGGGCGACACGACTAATTACATCAATTACAGGCAAACAGAGGTGCGCTCGGGTTTCGCTCCCACCTTTGTCAATATTTGGCGAGCGACCGCGGCCGCCCCCTCCACCCCGAATGGACACTCGTCTACGCAACAGCACACAACCCTGGACATTCCATATTAATGTACAAGGTCATACCTACAACGCTAATGGAGAACTTTTCAAAATAAGATAGCATTAGGTACAACTATCTACTTACTACTTAGTTAGTCTGATCGAAGCATGGCAAATGTAGTCTGTAAATGAGTTCACTTCATATAGGTACTGGGTATTTATTAGGTCTTGGTTGTTTTAAGATTGCGTGCGACTACACTGAAACATTATATATTTTAAAATTTTCAGCGTATAAATATATTATAATCATATGTATATGTATGAAGCGCATTTGTAAGAACAAACTTAGTATACAGATGACACCTAGACCAATACTTAGATAATAGGAATGTGCATTGTACATGCATAGCTTTGTGTGCAAG